TCTTACGCGTACAATGTGGTGTAACTTAATCTCCACTTCACATTTGGTCAAAATACTGTCTTCATCCTTGGATCACATCCAGTGTTCCCTACACTCCACACCAGTGTGCCCGTGAGAGCAGAATACTTCATCAGAGGAACACTCGAGGAAGGGTTCTGTTCACGATCTCAGCAAAAGCTAATATACTGATTTTTTAAAAATCTCACTACTAATATAAAAGACCAATCCAAAGAGTTGAGTTAATATACAGAACAATGTTAGGTAACGAACATGGGTTGATAAATTATGAATGGCAACATTTCGTAAAGGAGGCTGCGTGTGAAATTCGTGAGCAAGTGTCTGCCTTCCCTAACTTCAGAAGCTGGTCTTCTCCAAGACAAAGGCCTTTACACAGTTTAGTGCTTAGTGTTCTTAGCACAACAATGCAACTTAGTTCACAAGGAATTTTGACAACTCTATCTGAGCAAGAATAGGGAGGGGCTTTCGAAAAATAAGGCTTTAAGAAAGCTTGTCATTTCAGAGCTAAATTTTAATACAATGTGGAAGTTTGAATCCTTACACTTACTTGTTTAAATAAAACCTAAAAATTACTGATTGGTTCTAAATGCTTTTATGGAAAAGCTAATTTGTAACAAAAACTTGGCACTGAGTTCGAAGGCTCCATCGCAGTGGGGCTATATTCTCCGGGAAATACACTGGTAGTATCACTGATCAGTAGGCAAGTTTTACCTACAGCTCCGTCTCCCACCACCATACACTTGATGGCCTGCATCTGGGCTGCTGCGGGGGGGTGGGCGTCACGGAGGTGGCTCCAGGGGCTGAAGAGGGAAGTGGCGGGCTCGGGGCGCGGTGGGCGGGCTCATGGCTGCAGGGGGCGGGGCGTGGGGTGCGAGGCCCACTGTCCATGCCGCCTCGTCCTCCAACGGGAAGCCGAAGCCCAGCAGTGGCCACCACCCAAAGCTGGAGAAAACTGCCTCAAAATTCTATTTCTGATACAGATCAATTTTCTACCCACAGCTGCCATCAGGAATGGATAAAGGCTATGTAGAGCGCAGCTTTGCTCTGCTGTCAGCAAAATACGATACCATATCCTTCACCCCTGCCCCACCCTTGCTCCACTCAAGGTGCTCTGGGCCCTGCCTGCATGTAGGTCACACTAAGCGCACCCTCTGTGGCTGCTGTAGCTGCCTGTTTCTCCGCCCCTCCCTCTCTCTCTCTTGGGCATGGTCTGCTACCAGCTACACCACCAGGCAGACACGCAGCGTCTTCACCACCAACTGCGCTGCCCAGCCAGGCAGGGTCATCGGTGCTGCAGTAGGTGCTTCAACAGGGCCACGGTGCCTCACGGACTGTAAAAGGGAATGAACAGCCCGGGAGAGTCTTTTTAAATTACATACGGAATAAATATAAACACCAGGGTCGTTTGGAATCGAAAGTGGCATCACCCTAACGTGAGTGAAAACAAAAACAGAGTATCTGTTTCTCAAAATGCAGTGGCTCCTTTCACACGCCGTCAGCATGCTTTCCATTCGTACACAGGACCCTCTGGAGGGCAGCTTTTACAGTGGTCGGTCACTGTCGGCCAACACCACCGAGAGCCTAATCAAAATGCGAGGGCATCTGTCACACTCACGTCTGACGTCTGAGCTCCGCTGCACACTCAGATCTCAACCGCGGCAACACAGATGTTCAGTGATACTACTCTATGGTGCTGTGCGTTCCAAAGGCACCTTTACACATGAACAGATTCTATTTTAACGACCAAATGCAGTATGTGTGATGTGTACAATCGATGGATATAAAAATCTCCTGTGGGTATTATACAGGGAGGCTCCACTCTGCCCACGGGCACAGCTCTGTTTTCTAAAACACGGAAATGAGGAGCAGCGCATTAAGACCGTAAACCAACGTGTTCTGTCCAGGTCCCATCTCTCTGAATGTTTACCATGAACTTCCTCCCCGAGTGCAGCAGTACAAATAAAAGGTCGTAAGTGTCTGTGCAGCCAGGGAAGTTCTCACTGTGAAGTAAGGAGTCGGACACAGAGGAATTCAGGGAGTTTTCCTATGACGCGGGCGACTGGCATCACCCAAGCGCCTGTCCTCTCCAGTTTCCCCTGGAGACTGCAGGCTGTTACCTATGTCCGCGGGGCAGAGAGATTCCTACTCCACACAAGCGCTTGCTCGGCTGCCAAGTTTTATCTTTCCCTTTGTAACTGGAAACAATACACATTAGGTGACGGGTCTCTTTGTGCAGCACCTGTGAGGATCACCAGTGTTATCACAACAGGAAACAACAGCGGCTAGTACTTGACAGGAGGGACGATCCCAACCACCCGCACTGAGAAGAGTTTCGTCCTGGTAAGAAGCTGCCTCCCTGACAGCTGTCACCATTCCAAGTCCCCTCCCGTCCCCGAACGCCAAAGGGAACTGCACAGGGGGCAGTTTGGTGTGGGAAGATGGAGAAGAGAATTGGTTTGTTTTTTAATCTAGACCTGAGGGGCTGGGTAGCAGATATGAGCAGGAGACAGGGGGTCTCTTGTAGGCAGCTCTGCCCAGTTCTAGGGCAGAAGATGCCACTGTTCCTGGGCATCCCTGCCACTGCTGATCTCCGAGGCAATGAGGTGCGCGCACACACATCCACGCCCTGGGGACCAGGCGAGGACTAGAAGTAGGCCCTGAGATGGCCAAATGTTACAGGTGACAGGCACACACGGTTTACACGTGGAGAAAAGGAAAAACAGCAAAGAATGACAGCCTAAAATACAGGACTAGGCTGAATTAACGAAGATGTAAGCACCAGACAGGGGCTACTGGCCCCTACAGGGTCTCTCTCCAGGCAATGGCTCGCCTTAAAAATGAAAGAAGAAACAAGCCAAAATGGATATGGAAGACTGAAAGCCTGTTAAATTTATTGCCAATCCTGACTGAAAAAAAAATTCATTTTATTCTATGTGCCAGACACTTATTATTATACATCTTCTCATATAATCCTACAGGAATCCTGCAAAGTAGATACTATCTGTATTTTACAGCTGAAAAAATGGTGGCAGAAAGGTTAAGGGACTCGCCCAATGTCACCCGACCAGGAGGTGCAGATGTTAGGCCTGACGTGGCTTCATGACAAAGGCCCTATGCGTCTCCCGAGAACATTCAGATCTTATGAATCCTATTTACATAGACCAGAGAGCAGCACACTTTTTCTGTGAGGGCTAAGTGTTAAGTGTCTTAGGCTTTGTGAGCCGTACAGTCTCTGCACCCACCCAGGTAAAGCGGGAAAGCAGCCACAGAGACCAGGTAAACAAATGGGCATGGACGTTCTCCAGTAACTGGAGGCCAGTCTGCCCGCTCCAGATACAGCTCAGGGCTTGGCAAGCGCAGAGCTGGGCCAGATCCGGCCCACCATTGGTTTTTGTAAACAAAGCTTTCTTTCTTTTATCATCAAGATCTAGCCCATCATCTAGACCAGCGGTTCTCAACCTGTGGGTCGCGACCCCTCTGGTGGTCGAACGACCCTTTCACAGGGGTCGCCTAAGACCATCCTGCATATCAGATATTTACATTACGATTCATAACAGTAGCAACATTACAGTTATGAAGTAGCAACGAAAATAATTTTATGGTTGGGTCACAACATGAGGAACTGTATGTAAAGGGCCAGAAGGTTGAGAACCACTGATCTAGACTATTTCTAGACAGTGAAGAGTAATGCGTGGAGCTCAAATAACGCCCTCGTTTCACAGAAACACTCTCAGGAGCATCAGTGCTCTTTGTTCTAACCTCCCTTCATTCCTAACTTCCTAATCTGTGGTCAGTGGGGTCCAGCCCTCCAGGTGGGAGAGCCCTGATAAACACCTGGTGCCCGAGGTCACCTCTCACTGCAAAGGAGCAGAGACATTCTGCGCCATCGACCGATAAGTGATTCAGTTTCTGGGAGGTGCAGGATCTCAGGCAGCTGAATAGATAAAAACGGAGATTCTTAACCTAAAAAGATGGTGACCACAGATTGAGTTTGTGGTGCCATGACGATGAATTAGTTAATTCATCCATTCTAATATTTTATGTTAATCCTCACCGGAGAATATTTTTCCATTGTTTTTGTTTGTTTGTTTGTTTTAAGAGAGAGTGAAAGGGAGGAGGAGAGACAGAGAGAGAGAAACATCAATGTGAGAGAGACACATCAATTGGCTGCCTCCCGCACAGGCTCGACGAGGGCCGTGTGGGGATGGAGCCTGCAACTGAGATACGTGCCCTTGACTGGAATTGAACCTGGGCCCTTCAGTCTGCAGGCTGACACTTTATCCACTGAGCCAAACAGGCTAGGGCAGTGGTCGGTCGGCAAACTGCAGCTCGCGAGCCACATGCAGCTCTTTGGCCCCTTGAGTGTGGCTCTTCCACAAAATACCGACTTCTGCGCATGGGCCACGAAGTTTCAATCGCACTGTAAATGCGCGCCCACATGTAATATTTTGTGGAAGAGCCACACACAAAGGGGTCAAAGAGCCGCATGTGGCTCGCGAGCCGCAGTTTGCCGACCACTGGGCTAGGGCATTCTAATATTTTATGGTGTGCCCACTCTGTGCCAGGCAGAAACACATATGAAATTCAGACTGAAAAGACTTATAGCACTTGAGTAAATACTTCACATAGGGCAAATCTATGTTGCTATTTATGACACCATAAGACTTGAGCCAGAACACAAACCACTGCAAGCAAACAGACTAACACAGACAAACTGTGTTGCTTTGATAGCTACCGAAGTGAGATCCCCAGACAAGGGACTCTGGCTTCTTGTCAAGAGCTGCAGCTATGGGAGAACTTGTAAGATCCGGGAGGACAGAGGCCATCCTGGCTCAGTGCCCAAACCCGGGAACTCCGAAAGGATCTGTCATCCATATTACTGTGGATCACCTCCACAGCTCCTGACGAGCTGGGCTGGGAAGGCCCAGCTCAGAAGTCAGATTTTCTAACTCACATTATCAAGAGCAAACACTCCTCCTTACCTGGACGGTCTGGTAATCGGAAGCATCGATTCCTTTCACAGTCACCTCTCGGAAGACTCTTGGCTCCAGCTCCTCTTTGGTGAGATCACAGTGATAAATGATGCCTAGAAGGAAGCGGAAGTCTACGTTTAGTCCATGAACACACCAGACACAGGGGGACAAGGATCACAAAGCATAATCAGATGCCATGAGGAGCGGAGGAGCATCAGGGAGCATGAGAAGAGGGAAGAGCTAACTGTGGAAATGTAACAGGTCGGCTCCACGCCAAGTCACTTAGGAGCACAGGCAAAATAACATGGGAAATTTCACACAGGGCCGTTATGTCTGAGAGCCGATTACGACGGAAAAGACAAATGAGTGGCCCCAAGTCAAGAGCCAGTCAGGGGTCTCTTGATGGCAATCTGGGACTCTTGCTACTTACCCGCCACCCACTCATTCACGGACACACAGGTGGACAGCAATCAGGGACCAGAGATGATCGGGGAGCCATTCTCAAATTGCTTTACAATATTGATTATCCCAGTAATTGTGCATAACACAAATTGAAAAATATGCACCAAGATTTGCAGCTTATTTAACCACTAATTAAAATTCTATTTCCTGAATTTAATGCTGACATTTAACAACTAAATCGGAGGAACAATAAATAGGACAAGTCCCACTGTTTGAGAAAAACAACACTGCTGTGGTTTATGAAACAGAATTAGTCATCCAGAATGGCTGGTGTGGAAACAGCCCTCCCACGAAATACTTTACACATATACTGTCAAATATATGAAAAATCTGCTCAGTGATCCCCATGCTTGCTGGAAAACCAGAAACCAAACGGTGCTCCCACAGGACACATTCTAAATGACTGATCTGGAGTAAAACCGTGGCTGGCGTTCTTCTCAGCTCCTCTGTGTATGTTCTCCACTAACAGTTGAGAAACATACTCTGCCCCCCACTGGCAAAGAGAAGTACATTTAGATTCCTTAACAGCATGACTGCTAATCCCGATGAATGTTATCCGAATCATCACACTTACAAACACAGTGTGCTAAGGCACGATCATAGGGTGTATGATTAACATCAACAGTGGGGAGATATGTAACATGATTCAAGTATTGGCTTTCTTCGGTATGAAGTATAACTTAAATACTTCCACGCTGCACTCGGGGCATACGCTGAATTTTCCTAGATGAATGTCATCTTGAGGGAAATGGCTATCTTCAGATATATGTGAATTGTGGGAAAGCTTCTTGTTCAGTACCTGCTCCCCTCTTTCCCAAAATACACAAACCATCTGGATCTTTGAAGAAAAAAGCACACCAAACCACCAAACAACTACAAACAGAGACGGCAGACCAAGCACGTACCCCGTGAGCACCTGACTCGCCCTGGCATCACCGCTACCTCCAGTGCAGTGACTGACAGGGACCGGGAGCCAGGACTCCCAGCGCTGACAGTTACTGGGCCAGTGAGCTTAGACAGCCACCAAAGGACTAGAATGCACATTCCCTAGTGAAATAAATGAATAGAAAATACACTCTAAACGCCTGTTTATCCAGAAAAAAGAAATTCAGACACTGAACCCTCTAATAGCGGAGTGAAGTAAGTATACCACAGGGGCTGGCTACTGCCTGATCCCTATTCTTCTGTCTTCTGGGAAGAGGCTGTGTTAACCCTGAAGGTACCACTACTTAATATAGTTAGTTGAGCAATGCTTTCTATTTACATATTCGCACGTTCACACTGTAATGTAAATCCTTATAATGTAACGATGATTGGTGTCCAAGTACAAGTGAAGGTGGGGTTTGGAGAAATCCTAGATTCATGAACCAGAAAGGATTGGCTAGGTGATCTCTAGGAAATCAATTCCAAAATTTAAGGGTGAAAGAGAGATTTGGAATATGGGAGTCCCTTAAGGTATCTGGACTTGAGGAGATGGGTCACTGATGAAAACAAGGCAGGGCTGGTCAGCTGGGATATTCCTGCTATAATTCAAAATAAATGTAAGGAGGTAAAAGAAATGGGAGTCAGGAAAAGGGGTAACTATATGAGAAACTGTGAAAGAAGAATCAGAAGGATAAGAAAGACTGGGTATGTAAAGAAAAGGCAAAAGAACTTTGTAAAAGATGACCCACGTAGAGACTGTTTTGTCTGACTGAGGTTGGGTTTTAAGGTTTTTAAAAGAAAAAAATAAATAATAACTAAAACAAGTCTCTTTAAAAATTTTGTGCTCTTTGGTATTGTCTTAACAGAGTTGAAAATGTATTTATGTCCCCACAAAAGCTTGCTCATGGATGTTTATAGCAGCTTTATTCACGATTGCCAAAACTTAGAAGCAACCAAGAGGTCCTTCAGTAGGTGAATGTGTAAATGGACGATGCTTCATCCAGAAAATGGAATATTATTCAGTGCTAAAGAGTAATAAAGACACGGAGTATCCTGAAATGCATATTACTAAATGAAAGAAGCCAATCTGGTAAGAAGCCAATACTGTGTGATTTCAACTATATGACATTCTGGAAAAGGCAAAACTATGTGGACAATAAAATAAACAGTGGTTGCCAAGGGCTGGGACATCGGGTGGGTTGAAAAAGCAGAGCACAGAGGATTTTTAGGGGAGTGAAAGCCTTTTGTAGGATACCATAATGATGGATACATGTCATTATACACTTATCCTAACCCACAGAAAGTACAACTCTAAGAGTGAATCCTAAGGTAAGTTATAGACTTGGGGTGATCACGATGTGTCAGTGTAGGTTTATCAGCTGTATAACAAATGTAATACACTTGGAGGGGTGTTGATGGTGGGAGAGATTATGCATGTGCAGAGGCAGGGATTATATGGTAAATTTCTGTACCTTGCTCTTAATTTTGCTGTGAACCAAAATCTGCTCTAAAACTCTTAAAATATATATATATATATTTGCCTTTCCCAAACGGGTTGAGAAGGTTCTTTAATTTCTGGTTCCCAGAGCCATGCACTGCTGTATAGGATTTTTACAATGTGCAAGTCTGTCTGGAGCTCACCTTAGACAACCCTCCGAGGTTTCATGAGCACAGAATTAATCGGCTCGACAGCTAAGTGGTTCGAGCCACAGGGAATAAGAGCCTCGTGCATCACGCTGCCCAGGCCACCTGTTTTCTCCCAGGTGTGACTCAGGATACCAAACTCCTAAATGGTTTGGGCATAAGGCACGTCTGCCCTAGGCACCTCCTTGGGGACCACAGTCAGCTGTGGCCTGCACCTGCCAGGTGGCTCACACGTCCACAGCAGCTGGAGCTGCAGCGCCTTTGGGCCCCGGGGCTTTGCTTCTAATTTAGTCAGCTGTAGTGGACAGCTAACCTTCAGAGGCCAGAGCGAGACGGCCTTTAAGGTGATATACACATGCTGACAATTAATTTCACGGCCACTTTTACATCTGGACCAAAAGGCCTGAGTCTGGAAGTCCTGTTCTTTGGTTTTAGATATCAAATTGCATTAAGGAGAGAAAAAAAACAAAGCTGGAGGCAAAATGAAGAAGAAGAGAAAAAGGAGAGGAACAAAGCATTACAGCAGCAAATGAAAGCTTGTTCAGAAGCTGCCTGGCACTGCAGAACTAGGAACACGCTTCTCTTTTCAACCTTCACAGCCACGGTCACGGATAACATTTCACTGCTTGGCACAGAACCCACCATTCTACGCTGGGACAATGAGTCCTTTCTTCCCCAGTAACGACGAGCTTGTTCCTGTAATAAATGGCCACGTGGGGTCATGGAAGGAGGTTTACGGGCCTCTGGTGACTCTGGCTTTTATTAAGTGTAGGTGAGTCACCTTCTACCCTGTTCTTCTCAGCCCTTTATCCATTTGTTCAAACTATGCGATTTTCCAATGTTAAACTTCTAGAACCGCTGTAACCTGAGCGAGTGAACTGTGGACCCTGAAGCAGTGGGTTGAGAATGGCTATCTGGAGGACACTGGCTGTTCTTGGTTCCTGTCCATTGGCTGCCACTGTACCTCAGTACCCAGGGGAGAGGGGTGAGGTGCAGACACCCGTCCGTCCCTGACTCCTGGCCCTGGTTTCCACATCCTTGTGGGCACTTTTCCTGGGCTCCCTAGATCTTCCGAAAGGCACGTGGGAAAGTAAAGCTTACTAGGTGTGCCAGGTATGCCATCAGACCTACTTACAGAACATCACTCTTTGGATTTTAATAACCCTGAGAGCAACCTGCCAGATGATAAGGTTCCTATGAATGGCTTGCTCTGTGACTCCGAGGTGCAAAAAAAAAAAAAAAAAAGAATGAGGCATCACCGTCATCTGGCCAAACCCCAGAGCCAGTCAGTACCTGCCCAGCTCTCCCCTACCTGCTGTATTTGCCAAGGATAAAACTATTGCAACAAAACTGGGTAGGACCAAAAGGCTATGGAGGAACTTGAAAACGAACAAGGAAACGTGCACAAACTTTTTCAGCCAGACTGATCTCAGGATAGGGCCTGCTCGGTCCAAGGCAAACTGCCAACTGAACCAGGCTCCTGGGACAAGTCCGAGTACGTGCATGGCTTCGGCAATTGCAAAAACAGCCAAGTGGAGAAGCAAACAAAACCAAAACAAAGCAAAAGAGTGTGACTGACTTTTTAAAAAGTAAAAAAGATAGCTATGTTGACTTTGGGTAAAATTAACTACATGAAAAGTAAAACTACAATCGATGAGCATTTTTTTCTTTGTATTAGACCAAATAAGTTTTTTTCTATATGATGCAAGACTATATTTTTAGACTTATCTTTATTCAGTTTAACAACTGTAGGATTTATTCTTAGTTTATTCTCAAAAACAACTGTAATGTCAGATGTGAGAATAGATTTTTATTTTAAGCTTTTAGTTATGTGCACTGTGACTGCCCTGGTCCATACAGACCAAGGCTGAATCTAAGATTATACATGCTCCTGCGAATTTTTTTCATCAACCTAGAACATCAGTTGGTCCTGTCCCCAGAACAGAGACTCAGGACCCAGGACACAAGTTTGACGACGGTACAGTTTTGGCGGCTGCATTTCCCTGGGTTCTCAGCATCTGTTTTTCTGTTTTACTCCCATTAAGTGATGTGGCTGTAATACAGCATATGTGATTTTCAACTTCATAGCATGATATTCCCATTTCCCCAGAGACACCCAAACATGGGTCTGGTTTTGGACCTGAGCCGCACTGGTGGGGAGACTCACCTGGAGACAGGAAGGAAGTGAACTGGTAAAAGATCTCGGTGTCCTTCTTCTGCCCGCTGTAGCCCACGATGCTGCCCACCTCCAACGGGAAGGTCTTCAGGAGGGCGCCCGTGGCCAGGTCGTGGAGCTGCAGCGTGTTCTTCACGTCGTGGAGGTAGCACAACACCAGAAAGTTAGCCCTGACGCAGGCTACCCATTCTGAAAAGACAAGAACAGACAAAGCCTCAGGTGGTTTTGCAAGGCGAGGACGGCACACCGATGTCGCTGGACAGTTCTGGAGCTCCAGGGTGCTATGCAGCAGTGCGCCTGGCAAGGTGACTGCACAACTGCTTTTCATCATTCACCCAGTGTCCAGCATATTCTCTTAATAGTGACTGTCACTGTGGTGTCTAGAGGAAACCAAATACTCTCCACCTTGGGCCAGGGGCTATGATTACCCAGATAATGTGTATACTACAGGTAACCAGCCTACCTACTCTGTGTTCAATATCATGCTACAGGAAATATAAGAAAGAAACAACAAAAACCAAATCACAATCCGTTTCAGTCGGGGTTGTTTATTCGACAAAAATGTATCAAGCCTTTGGAACATTCCAGGTCCTCTGCAAGGTGCCGGGAGAACAGCAGGAAGATGACGGCACCTCTGCCCTTAAGATACAACCCTGTAAAAACACAGCTAGTAATGTGTAAGCAAAGGTGAGTCACCGGCTGGCTGCAGACCCAAAAAAGTGAGAGCCTTTCAGCAAGTGCTGAATTGAGTCTCAAGCACAGGAGTGTGGGATGGAGGTGCCCGGGAGTGACAGCGGGATGAGGTGGCAGGAAGACAGGTGACCCAAGGAACAGGCCAGAGCTAGGAATGAGGAGAGAGAAAAGGAATGAGAATGAAACAATGAATGCACAGCAGGAAGGGAGGGAGGAAGGAAGGAGGAAGGAGGGAGCTAATAAAACAGGCGAGAGGTCTGTTTTTAAGAAGAAAAAGGTTGTCCAGTCTGGGGGTGAGTGGCGATGGTGGTCTGAAGGGGGCTTCAGTGAGCTGGGTAGGAGTGGAGTGTAGGTCAGACTCGGCAGTTACTGAGGAGCTACTGTTTGGATAAAGGGGATACAAATAGAGATGACATCCACGAAGGATACAGAACAAAGGGGTGCACAGGGATGGAGGGGAGACCAGGAAGAACACACCTGCAAAAAGCCAGTGAAATCACACCAGTGTGGATCAAGTCTGGAGATGTAAGAAAATAAATGAAAGGCAAAAACTAAAAAATAAAAATAAATGAAAGGCAAGTTCCCCCCAAAATCCCAGGGTTTGGTGATCGTGAGGAAATGGGAAGTCAGGTAGAGAGATGAGTCCTCCTCACTCCCAGGGTTGCAGCGTCAGTATCGGTGTGGTCCTGCGGCAGCACTGGGAGAGTGCAGGGGGGCGAAAAAACAGAAGGGCAGGCACAGAGCACAATCTGTTTCGTTCTGGACAAGATGAGCCTAAGGCAGTGGTTGGCAAACCGTGGCTCACGAGCCACATGCGGCTCTTTGGCCCCTTGAGTGTGGCTCTTCCACAAAATACCACATGAGGGCGCACACGTACAGTGCGATTGAAACTTCGTGGCCCATGCGCAGAAGTCGGTTTTCGGCCTGGGCGAGTCTATTTTGAAGAAGTGGCGTTAGAAGAAGTGGGGGGTGTCGATCGGTCGGGCCAGGGGAGACGCAGCGCAGGCCGGGCGGGGCAGCGGGATACACAGCGCGTGCGATTCATGCACGAGTTGAGGATGGGAGAGTTGGAAGGGGTCGACTTCAGCGAACGTACCTCAATCAGATTGAGGACGTTTTTAGCAAAGGCCAGCTTAGGAGTGAGTACCCTAATTAAGTTAATAACAATGTACCTACCTATATAGTTTAAGTTTAAAAAATTTGGCTCTCAAAAGAAATTTCAATCGTTGTACTGTTGACATTTGGCTCTGTTGACTAATGAGTTTGCCGACCACTGGCCTAAGGGAAGGCCAGGCTGTCCAGAGGGAGAGATGCTGTTATGAATGGACAGATGCAAGGACAGGGCTGCAGGTAACAGCTCCGACACGGGGATAAGCCTTTCTTGGGTTTCATGGGGAAGTGAATTTTAAATTTATTTTTATTATTAATACTTTTCATCTTCACCCGAGGGTATTTTTCCATTGACTTTTAGAGAGAGTGGAAGGGAAAAGGAGAGACAGAGAGAGAGAAACATCGATGTGAGAGAGATTCATAGATTGGTTGCCCTTGTCCAGAGTTGAACCTGGACCCTTCAGTCCACCAGCGTCTGATGCTCTATCCACTAAGCCAAACCGGCTAGGGCCACATGCTCATTTTTTAAAACCCACGGAACTCGTAGTTCACGCCTATAACATTACCAGCTATCAGCACGAGCCAGGCGTCGTCAGAGGGAGCTCCGAGGACCACCAGAGCTCCCATCCGGTTGGCTGTTACCACAGCAAACCCTTCCTTCAGGGAAGACACAAAGAACTTTCCCAGCCACAGCCAGGTGCTCCTCCAATGCGATTTTTTTTTTTTTTTACAAAAGTGCCTCAATCAAGTAATCTATTTCATGCAGCCTTAATGTTTTACAGAAAGTATAGAGGAAAAACAGAAGTAAATTACTTGTCAAGGAATCCTTGGTGTTAACTGCAAGCACATCAGAATTATACAACAGACAAAGCGAAGAAGAAAGGACAAGGAGATTTGCAGGCACCATCAATAACAGCTCTGACTTTATGGCTGTGCTTTATGACTCATCTCTAGTTTTTATTCTCAACTGGGCATTCTGTGCTAATGATAGATAGCAAATTCAACTGCGCTTCCCTCGGATTGATGAGTTCTAGGGAATATTGAAGGTTTCCCCTTTCCAGTCCAAGGAACTTCTAATCTTCCAGAAGGAAGGTTATAAAAATATATCACCCCCAAGTCTCGAAGCAGCGATTTGCATTTCATTAGGTCCACAAGTGAAATAGGATGTCACCTTAAGGCACAGCCAAGCCACTTTTAGGGGGGCTTTAAAAGGCAGAAAAGTCACATGCTTTGGGAAACAGTTAGGTCTCTGAGAGCTCCCCATTGAAGAATCACGGATCCAACCTGCCCTGCGTCTGAAAACCACCCAGACACCCTGCAGGAAGGCTGGTGCTACCGAAGTCTCACTTGGACCTGCCAACATGAGGCCAGTTCACGTGGCACTTAAGAGGCACTAAATGCCTGGCTCTTACCACCCTTAGGGGGGACATTCTGTCTCAATTTGCACAGAAGCCACCAGGCGACCAGAATTACTACGCACCCAGTTCCTCACAGGAAGCTGTTGAAGGAAATGGCCAAAAACCTGTTTCTTGACGCCTCATCCAAATATAAATGAGGGCACGGAGTGAATGGAAGGTTCTGGAGAGACAAGCGAAGGGATTTCCTTGGAGAAAGCCCAGTCATGCTGTTAAGCCCCCCTCCCCACTGGGGAGACAGCACTGGTGTCCAATCCAATGCGAGAGGCTAAAGGGATCGGGACTGGGACAGCTGGAAGGCAGGAGAAGGGGGACTGAGTACTTTAGGGAGAGCTCGGATGGGCTGCTGCCTTGGAGGTGCAGATGTGGGTTTTGTAAGAAAGAGCAAGCATGAGGTCCTCTCGGGTCCTGGCCAACACACCTGCCGAAGAGAGTGAGGGGTGCAGCCAGATGTCCAGGGGCTGGGCAGAATCTCCAGCAAAGACGTAGAGCAGTGCTTCCTCCTGGGCCAAGGTACATGCAGAAGAAGGGCCCAGAGGGAGTGCCCCTGGGCCGCAATCCCTGAGACAGTCAGCGTAACCATCTGACCACCTTTTCCTCTCCCCATGATACAAGGCCAGTTTAAGTGCCTGCCAGGCACAGAGTGCACGGCCTTGAGCCAGGAGGGAGAGTCCCTCATTTTTCCAGGACTGTTCAGCTGAGACAGGGACACTATGCAGATATCGAAAGGATTTATTTTCCTAATTATATACCTTACACCTTCCCATTTTGGGGTGGCCCTCGCTTTTATCCCCACTGAACCCATTAGCAGAAGTTCACCTCCAACCAGTAAATTCTTCATTAACTTGAAGATAACTGGACTCTTCTTTTGTGTAAAAAAACTTATAGCAAAATTAGTGAGTCTCATTCTAATCAAATCCAGCTTTCAGGCAATAAACCATTTATAACGCAGAATACCATTTGGGAACATCAAAGAGAAAATGAACGAGGGAACTTATGGGCACCCTGAAACAGGATGGAAACAGAGGTGAGATTCCTGAAAGGCTAATGGAGCTCAGGGCACACAGCAGCAACTGCACTGGATTTCAATTCAATCTGAAAATAGTTTACTCCTTTTCTAATAAGAGGACTGAAAACCACCCTACAATCTCTAATAGGTATAATACAAACAGCCAACAGTTATTCAAAAGTGAAAAGCTACGGCTTTTGAATCCAAATGGTTTAAAAATTAAACGTAAGTGATTATTATACTAGAGGCCTGGTGCACAAATTCGTGCATGGGCGGGGTCCCTCGGCCTGGCAAGTGATCGGGACCTTGGGCCGTCTCACCCAGTCCCAATACCCATCAGGGCTGATGGGGACCGGCCGGCCGGGGAGGGCTCTGGGGCATGTCCAGCCCTCTCACCCAGTCCCGATTCGCTGGACCCGAGCAGCAAGCTAATCAACCAGTCGGACGTCTGCCCCCTGGTCGTCAGTGCAGTCATAGCGACTGGTTGGACACAGCATATTACGCTTTTATTATACAGGATTATTACAAAAAGACAACTAATATTTTTTTAAAAAGCACCACCTAGAAAGTCTGGATTCATATCTTCACAATGATTAGGATGGCCCTGCATAATATTGTTGTCACTACAAAGACGTCCTGCAGTGCAAACCCGGTGGCACTGTTTAGACACTTCATGCCCAGAGCTCAGAGGCTGAAGGTTCTTTACCTTGTAGTGGGCCACCAGAGGATGAGAGGCGGACCAATGTGCTGACGTGCTCACCCAACACGAAGCACCGCTCTCAAGCAGCATGCAGTCTTACCCAAGACATCCTTCTCGTGCTCAGGAACCAGCACCTTCCACTTCGACTCCTCGGGATCCGTGAAGTCGATGTTGATGAGGCGATAGTTGGGAGAATGGCGATTGGTCTTGAACGTGAACACTGTCCCCTCGTTCGTCACGTAGTCATATTCTCCTTCAAAGTTGTCGATCAGTTTCACCCACTTCAGGATTCCTGGTGAGAGACCAAGCATCCTGTCAACTCTCCAGTGCTTAACAGGGTGTGGTTTGTGCATGGGGAAGAGAGGGCAGATCTTATCTGTCTAGAGAAAAAGTAGACATAATATTTGGAAGATCTAAGGTCTGAGAAAGAGCGAGGACAATGGGCACATTTTAAGGTTTTAAAACATGTGAAGGAATCCCCCCCCCCCACCCCCCCGAAAAGCCTGGTAGATGTGAACATTGCCCCACGGAAACTGGGGGATCCTCCTCCACCTGAACCTGTTCCCAAACTGGAGCACTTCTCTCTACCTCTACTGCCCTCACACCGGCCAAGTCTTCACCAATTCCCACTGGGTCTACGTCAGGGGCTCTCAACCGGGGTCATTCCACCACCGTGCGGGACATGCAGAAATGTGTGCAGATGTGGTTGTCACAACTTGGAAGGGGAGAGGAGGGCTCCTATTAGAGTCCAGTGGGTGAAGGCCAGAGATACCGCTAAAGGTGCTTGGCTCACAGGACAGTCCCTACGACAAAGAATTAGGCTGCTCAGGTCTGCAGATTAGCTTCCCGCCTGGCCTTCCCACAGCCACTCCAAACCTTCTCAATATTAGTGGCTGTAATATTACCACAATGTTGGAATATCCTGAACTGGTCCATGTTGGTGCCCTTCTTAAAAACGCCCCCATTACTCTTTGAATAAAATCGAATTCCTATTTATGGTCTCCCTGGTCTCGCATGTCACAGTCCTTGCCCACTTAGCCAACCTCAGCTGGTTCCAACTTTTGCTGCACCTCTGTCCTTCAAGCCTTTGTGGGGCTCCTTCACACATGCCTCAAGGTGTTGTTACAGGGCATTTCCTCGGCCTGGCTCACTCTCCAATGGCCAGGCCCCTCTTATCGGTACCCAGACCATTTCTTCACGGCACTTCTCTCAAGATATGTACCTATCTGCTTGTTTATAATTTGTCTTTTCTATTCAGAAGTTAATACTTAGCACCTAAAGGAAGTGGCAGGTACTTCAAAGATGCAAAATAAAATTGGTCCTGAATGAAAGAAGGAACACTTCCCAGTCCCTTAGTGCTAAGAATTCATCTAGAGATGGGCATCACTAAAAAAATCTTAAATGTGGCTCACTATTATCATTTAAATGGCTCACTAGATGCCACTTTTAATGTTAAATACCTGCTTCACAATGTATCAGTCAGGGATGTTCAGAGTACATCTCACAAGTTTTATAAACAAAGAGTTCTATGACTTCTAAACTTCTGGAAGGCAATGCCAGATCTCAGCTATTCTCCAATTAATCTCCTGGCTTCAATTTCACAGTGAAATTACTACATTAATTTGGATAGTTCATTTATAGTCCCTGAATTTTTCAAGGCAGTTTTACATTTATTATCTCATTCATCTTTAGAGCATAATAACTTTATATAATTGGTTGTCAAATTAAACTCATCAAGAAAAATATCCCATGATAAAAACAGTGAGTTTTTTGGTCAGACACAACTGGATTAAAACTGCAGCTCAACAATATTTAGTTGTGTGACCTTGAGCAATCTCTTTATCCCTTGATAAGCCTAGTTTTCTCAACTGTAAACTAGCACTAGCAAAAAGATTTTTAAAATATTAAAGTGACTTAGAAAACTATGATACATCTACATGATGGAATACTACGCTGCTATAAAAAGAAGGAATTCTTACCATTTGCAATAGCATAGATGGAACTGGAGAGCATTATGCTAAGTGAAATAAGCCAGTCAGAGAAAGATAAATATCACATGATCTCACTCATTTGTGGAATATGAGGAACTAAAATAGAACCAGTCATAAAAGCATAGAACAGACTGTCCAACCTATGAGGGAAGGTGGGGGGTGAAGGGGTAAGAGATCAACCAAAGGACTTGTATGCATGCATATGAGCAAAACCAATGGACGCAGATGGGGGGTGGTGGTGAGGGCACGGGGGGGGGGGGGGGAGGGGAGAGGTCAATGGGGGAAAAAGGAGATATATGTAATACTTTAAACAATAAAGAATTTAAATTAATAAAAAAATATTAAAGTGACTACTAATACCTACCTACTCCACAACAAAACCTCAACAAATATTTTTAAAACAATAATTGAAATGAAAACTAATAATAAGATAAGCAGTTTTTAAAAACCTATCACTTTCCTACAGGCTAGCAATAACCAGTTAGAAAAAAATGGGAGGACTGGGAGAAGAGCTCATTTACAATAGAAGCACAATTAATAAAATGTTTAGGAATGCACTTAACACGAAATGTGGAATCTATATGAAGAAAGCTCTAAACTTTTTCTAAGGAATCTTAAAAATAACAATAGAACATACAAATCCTAAATAACTGAAAACACACACCATATCCCTAGATGGGAAGACTCACTATTTCAAAGGTGCAAATAATCCTAGAGAAAATTTGCCAATTTAACACAATTCCAATCAAAATCCCAAAGAGATTTTTAATGAACCTGACAATATCATTCTAAAGTCCAGCTGAAAGAATCGGCACAGAAGGATAATAAATATGCTTTTGATAACAGAATGAGGAGGAACTTCTTGTACTACGATGCTCTGAACAAGCCCCCGGCCCTCCTGAAGGCAATCACCATCCTGAATGCTATGGTAATCCTATTTTTCTTTGTTCTTTTTCTGCCTTAATATGTATCCTTAAACACAATCTTACTTATTTTTGAACTTCATATATAATGAAACATACAACATGTATTCTTTTGTATCTGACTTCTTTCACTTGACATCATGTTTATGAGATTTTTCACCCTCTGGTCATTGTTATTGACTTTTAGCTAAATCCAATTGTGCTCAAAGAACATGCTCTGTCTGGTTTTAATCATTTAAAATTAGTTCGGAAAAGCTTTATGGCCTATTTTTTTTTCTTAAATGACTTTTAACTGCTCCTGTATGTGACTAAAAAGAATGTGTATTTTGCAGCCTTTGGGTGTGATATGTTAAATGTCTATTAAGTCATTTGTTAATCATTGTTCAAATCTATATATTTACTGATTTAGGGGGCCATTTTTTTTCTATCAGCTCCAGAAAAGAGCTATTAAAATGCTTCTCTATGATTGTAGATATATCTATTTTTACCTGGATTTGTATTAATTTTTGCTCTCTGTATTTTGAAATCGTGATTTTATATATACACATAGATATTTAAATAAAACTGAATTGAATCTTTTATGATTATGAAGTTTTATTTCGTTGGTAATGCTTTCTTACTTTAAAGCCTATTTTGATACTAAGACAGCCGTATCATTTTCATGATAACAACTTGGGCCAGTTGTCCTCTGCAGAATGGTTGGTCCCAATTACACAGCTTATCATTTCTAAAAAGATGTGCTCTTTTCCATATCTCTGAACCTCTCACATGCTTTCCACCTCCTGGTGGGCTATATTCTAGTTGACTTCTTTATACTTATATTCTACTTTGTTAGTTCTCTCTTCAGCTGTGTCTAATCTTGCCTTTAATGTAATAACTGAATTTTTTAATGGTAATAATCATAGCTTTATTTGCAGAAGTTCCGTTTGGTCATTTTTTATTTATTTATTTTTTTTTTACAGTATCTTGTTTCTTGCTTTGCCACCAAGCTTCTCGTTTATTTTTTGTAAAAGCAAAACATTGTTTATTTTAAAAGTGTATGTACTAGTTTTACATTAGGAATCTGATTAATTCCATACGGGTGTTTCTGCTGGCTCTACTTCTCATGCTGGTAAATTTCTTCATTGCCTTTGTGACTTCTGACTGTGAACTGACTCCCCTTGAAACATTATCTGTGGGAATTCTTACAAGCCTCAGTAGAAGTGGCACTCTTCCAGAGAAGATTTGCATTTGCCTTCTGTTTGCCTCTTGGGAGGCAACCAAACTGGGAGCACTTTCAATTAAACGCTTGGTATGAGGATTTCTGGACCTCATAGGGCCAATCAAGACAACCTGCACACAGGTGAAGGTCAGCCTTTCTCAAGTTTTAGGAGAATTGACATCCTGCCTACCCTTCCCCTTCAGCAGTGACAAGATAAAGATGGGCAGGTTTCCTTCTTACGCCCTCCCTCCGCCTCACCCCACAACCCTACCTCTGCTAGGTTTATTTCCCAATCATCCTGACACTGAGGGTATCTCTCATTACGCTCTCTACCGTGGAGACCCAGAGCTTTGTCACCCATCCCCCTGGCCCAGGTGGCCAGCAGAGGGAAGCTCAGCCTCAGGGCCCAGCAGACACGTTCAGGAGCAATCCAGGATTCCTGCTTTCACTTGGTCTTTGGTTCTATGGGTTCTCTTCTTCTCTGCCAACTCAGCAATAGTTAGAAGAGTGCTTTATAAAGTTACAGCGTCTTAGTTGCTTCAATAGTTGTTGTTCAGTGGAGCTTTTCAGAATATATAATTTGACAAACTCCCTCAAACAGAAGTTCATACAATTAATTTTCATAAAAGGTTAAGCTCTGCAATTCAAGTTAGAATTTTATTTTCAAACCGCTAGCCTCAAAAACAGGTGACCACTCAATGGTAACCAACTTGTATCTTAGTTTACATAAAATGTTTTTTTTTTTAAAAAAAAAAAAACAACCACCCTAAAAACTATTCCTTAGAAGAATAAGTAAAAAATTAGCTGCCAATGCAAAATTTGTAGATAAACAGAAAGGTACATTTATCTATAATAATAAAAGTGTAATATGCTAATTAGACTTTCCGATGAAGCCGGGACTGCAAGGGAAGCCCGGGTCCCAGGTGCCTGCCAGCGGCTGGAGGGAAGCCAGTGCAGGCAGCCGGGGGAAGGAAGACCTACTCTTGCACAAATTTCGTGCATCGGGCCTCTAGTTTATAATAAGAACCTTAAAACGTAATTTTCTGGACTATGACTTTTACAGAGACAGAATCTTGATTCAGGGAAATGTCAGATTCCTTAAGTGTTCCCCTGACAATAAAACACTTTGTAATGTAAAACCTTTAGTCCTCAAAGTAACCATCTTAGGATTTCTGCTTGAAAAGGTCTTGTAGCCACTGCAGTGGTATTTCTTATGACCCTACCCACCTCTGCAAAAAGTCACTGAAATATCCACCCAAAGCGAAACACAGTAGCAACCTCCCCCAGGACCTGTTTAATCAGCTGAGCCTGAAAATGCGGCACACGCTTTAAATAATCAAGCTCCACTGCACACACAAAATCAAAGTTTGTGGTCTTATCTGCCACCAAAGTTCTGAAGCATTAACCTTAGTCATAAATAGATACTGTAAGTCATAAATTTATTCAGATTAGGGAAAGGGGCTGGATTTATACAAATCCAGCTGTAAATTTGAAAAGCAGTGGAAAGTACAGGCCTCACAAGGCAGCATGCTTAAGACGGGAGCTCACTAAATCCTTTTGCTTTTCTGAAACCTTTGCTCCTCAAGGGCTTCGGACCTGACACAATTCTAAAGAAATGGCATTTCGGATGAAGAATGGGGCTCATTCAGTTTTGCTATGCATAACTTAGAGCATTATTGATTTAAGTGAAAAACAGAAAAATTACTTTTAAAAATAGAATGGCTAACCACCTCACTGTCTGCTCACCTTTTCTGAGGCTCCTCTGCCTGTGAGTGGCATTCTTCACTCTGAAGCCAACAGAATTCAATTCCTAAACTTCTCTACATCCAAGTTAAATCACTTTTTGTAAACCTGCTTCTGGGTGGGGGAATGATTTGTTGACTGAGTGAAGATTAGCTTAAAGTAAGCCATCTCCATGCTTTCCTGAGAGCGAACTCATTACTTTTATTGCTTTCTCTGAAAATCAATGGTATTAACTACGTTTCAAAAAAAATGTTTTGCAGGCTCTCTAAGAACAGGAGCTAAGAAGTGTTTTTATACTTTACAAAGCACCTGACACGTAACAATGATAAACCAATGCCAACTGTGGGTCCTGCTCTGAATGGAGGGGACCAGAAGGCTGCGGCTCTCCTGGTCTGATGCCTTCCTTCCACCTCACCTGCCACATAACTATGGTTAGAACATGGGCTGGGAGTTCAACCGACATAGGTCTGAATCTTTAAATGGCATCAGGAAAGCGAACTGGCTTCACCAACCTGTTTCCTAGGATAACACCACGTGCTCCTCAGAGGTTGCTGAGAAGACAAAGAAATAACTACATTTGTAGCTCAGAATCTGGCACAGATAAATGCTAAATAAACAACACTTACTACTATGCCAAATAATCTGTGTTCTTCAAATGACAAAAATAAGCTAAATGTGGCTACTGAACAGCACGATTTGCTAATAGTGAACTTTTAAAGTTTAATTTCCATCTCTCATGGCACACAGCTATTTTCCTAGAAAAAGCCCTTCTAATCCCTAATTTTAAAATTACCAAAAATACTGACTTTATCATTATTACTTATTTTACTTCAAAGTTCATATTTTTATACTACCTCTTGATGTTCCTATTCTTTTTTTTCCTTTGGCATACCCACTCTGACACACACACACACACACACACACACACACACACATACCCACTCTGACACACACACACACACACACACACACACACACACACACCCATCACAGGAGTCCTCTTCCTCTGTTGGTCTGGCTTTTAATGCTCAGATGACTTGGTTAAACTTTGGATAAATCATTTAAAGGTTCTTGAACGTTTTTCTCTCCATTTCCACTGTAACCCCCAAAGATGCCCAGTCCTGCCAGGCCTGACCCATGGGTCAATGTTGTCTCAGTTTTCTAAAAACAAGAGATCATCTGCTTTGCACTAGCCAGAGACGGCTGGATGTACAATGTAGGTGTCTGAAAATACCGAGCTTCCTTTTATCTTCATGGGTAGATTAATTTCTTATGCGGGAGAAGACAATTTTCACTAGTGACATGAAAGCTTTAAAATAAAGACATGGGGAGCACTGAAAATTTCATCAATCTAAAATGATCAAACCTTCAGCATAAAAGGACAAAGGAGAGAGACAAGTTAATGAAAGTCTAGACAAAGTACACAGTAAGCAGATATTCGCTTACAAAAATCAAATATGTTAGCACCATCCAGCTTTTCCACCAAACACTTCATAAATGCTGTGACATGAAGACCACTCAGGCTCGTTTAAGAAATTGATTTTAGAGAGAGGAAGGGAGAGAGAGAAAAACATCGATAGGTTGCCTCCCGTATGTGCCCCAACCAGGGATTGAACCTACAACCTTTCAGTGTATGGGACAATGCTCCAACCAACTGAGCCACCTGGCCAGGGCCAATTTGTTTTTTAATTAGTTAACTTATATGGTTTAACAATAAGCCCACCTAATAATTTACATAAATAAAAATGAAGTAATAAATAGAAAATGAAACCAGAATTCTATGGAGAAAGAACACGGTAATTGGCATTCATACAGAACTGGAGAAAGCAAGGTCCTATGCACTATCTTACAGTCACATGGGAATATTGTACAGGACAACAGCACAGTTTAACAGCTGTTATTGTTTCTTTCAGAGTCTATATTCAGAGGTTTGCACAGTTCTATGTACACCAGCACTTGCAACTCAAATGAACAATTCTTGGGTGTTGGCCTGCTCCTGTCAGAGAATGTGTAACTGCTGTGGTTGAGCCAATTTTCTTGAGATCAAAATGGATATATCTTTTTTTTAAAAAAACCCACAAACCCGTAGTTTTATTAAATGGAAGTATATTTTACACTAGCATAAAAGTTGTTGACTTCATCCTGCTGTATGTGTGAATGGCATCTGTGGTATCTAAGAATCTTAGGACGCGAATCTTACTTTAGAAGTTTAAAAATGATGCAATGACCAATCAATAATAAAGAATTTATATTATCTTACTATAATGTAACACACAATATAGACCAATAATGAGGTAATCGAATAACTAAAAGTGCACTCAATATATTGTACAGTTTGAAAATCTAGGTCACGATCTCTAAAATATACTTATTTTACATTAACCAGAACATCGTATAATTAGTATGGGGTCTTACCTGTGTGCCAGCATACCTGATACAATTTCTGGGTCTGGGAATTTTCAGCACAGTACGTCATGCAGTTGGAAAGCTTTAATGCTTGACAGTGGTATTGGTATGATTTAGATGTCGGAAGAGAATATTTAAAATGAGCCATCCCCAGAATTTGCTTACCATCATGACATCTTACCATCATGACATACGAAGCTTCAGGCAGGAAAATCAGGCTGTGATTGTGCATGTGGCTCAGTACTGAGGAATTATGTTACCCTGGTTAATTCTCACTGGTCCCCTCTCTCTTGCCTATGTCGGTTTGCCGCATTACGTCTAGACAGTTATACTGTTTTACAGACCAAAGGGCCAGCTTCTCCTTAATCCTCTTCATCTGCAGTATTCGCAGGATATTTTCACACTCATATGCAAAAAATATGCTTAACCTCAACCTACCGAGAAAATGCTGAAGCCAACAAATACGTTCATTCAGTTTTTCTTCATTTTATGGGATAATATGGGGGAGGGGGGAACAGATGAACTAAGACAATGTGATTAAATGGAAGATGGTTTCTTAGAAAATCAATTAGAAGACAAAATAACTGCTTTTAAAAGGCATTCTGGAGTAATTACTAGTACCTGTGCGTGAAAGATAACTTACCAGTGATGCCATTGGATTCCTGCTGCAGGTCACAGTACCAGAGCCGGTTCACTGGGTCACACCCCTCCCTTATTGATAACAAGACATAGCGACCATCGTCAGACAACTGGGAAGACAATAAAAGCAATGCAGGAGGCTGATTAGAATGTATTTTCTGTGAGAGTACTATTAAATATTAAGCAAAAACTAAAGGTTAAACTCAAATGCAGTAAATTTATCCCAAACTTATGAATGGATAAGAAGTTAACAGAAAAAAAAGATGAACATCCATTTTAACTTATTTCACTCCTAATCAGTGTTTAACAAAACATAGTGAAATATTTAAGTAGAAAATATCAATAGATGTAACAATGTCATAATGACTTAATATGATTTTTAAGTAAATCCAGTCTATTCTTTAACTGAAAATATATGCAATCTGTCGTTTTGAATGTTAATATCCCTGACTCTAAAGTTTCGTCACAGGTTACGTATTTTAAAAGTTGTTCTAAATGAGTAGAAGTTACCAAGATAGGCATGGATGTAAAGAAGTTCATGTGTGGTTCATATTGGTCACATTAACAATTTCTGTTGACCTACTCTTCATGCATATCTTTAGCCCCCTCCACACAAGATGTCAGAGAACAAAGGCCCATGCTTCTGTGGGTTTCTTTTATAATTAAACAGGAGAATCTTAAATAACAAAAATAATCTTGGTAAAAAACTAATGCAACCAACATTATGGTTTTGAGTTGTTAAAACATAAGTGGTATCAAACTATATATACCCTTTTGTAACTACTTTTTAAAATTCAACATAATTAAAAAAATAATCCATGTTGATATATGTACATTTACTTCATTTAACTGTTGTATAGTATTCCAATTTAAGAATATACCACAGCTAATTGATCCATTTTCCCACCAATAAACATTTAGATTATTTCATTTTTCTTCCTATTACAAGCAACACTTTACAAAAATTCTTGAACATGTTTATTTGTGGCCTTATGTAAGTGTTTCCCTTATATAAGTATGGCCTTTTATAAGTGTTTCTATATAACTAGGAGTAAAATTGCTCAGTGGTAGGACATGGACAACCTCCACTTTATTAGATATTGCCAAATTAAGTGATTACCAACTCACTCTCTTACATTTTATCCGTGTGTAACAGTTCTTATTTCTCCACATCCTATTGTGATAGTTCATTTAATGTGTCAACTTGACAAGGACAGAGCACCTAGATATTTGGTCAAACATTATTCTGCATGTTTCTGTGAAGGTATTTTTTGGATGAGATTTACATTTAAATGGATGGACTTTGAGAAAAGTGATTACCTTCCATAATGTGAATGAATCCATCCAACCAGTCCAAGGCCTTAATAGAAAGACTGCCCTGCAAAGGTAGGAAGGAATCCTGCCAGTAGATTGTCTCTGAAGGACAATCTTCCCTGGATTTCCAGCCTGCCAGCCTCCCCTGCAGACTTTGGACCAGTCAAGCCTCCCCAATCACATTAGCCAATTTCTAAAAAAGTAAGTATTTCTCTCTATACATATACGCAGGTCCTGTTGGTTCTGTTTCTCTAGAGAATCCTAACACACTTACAACAACTGTCATTTATTCATTCAATAAAAATTTCCTAAGCAGCTATTACGTTCAAGTCATTTTCTAGGGGGCAAAGATATATCGGTGAACAAACCAAGAAGCAAAAAATGTTCCAGTCTAGGGGAGGAGACAAACACATACATATAGAATTATGTAGCATATTATACAATGAGAGACAGCATGGAGAACATGAACAATCTCGGTAAGGGAGGCAGAATGTGGGGGAAGGGACTATAGTTTTCAGTGTGGCCGTCAAAGTAGGCCTATTAAGGTGTCTTGTCCTGGCCAGAGATCAAACCCGCAACCTTTTGGTGTACAGGATGACGCTCCAACCAACTGCACTACCTGGCCGAGGCCCCATTTCTTTCTTTCTTTTTAATTTTCCATAAAATAGTTTTATATCACATTTGTTCAAATGCATTTCTCTACAACTACTCCAACATAGCTCCTTTGGAATTATTTCATAACATGTAACTTTATCAAAGACTTTGAATCTCAAACATAAAACTTCAAAATATTAATTTTTAAATATTAATTTTTAGATGAAAGGAACAAGAAATAAAAGTCATTAGGTGATGGTTGGGGTTGTTAATTTCCAATAAGACACTGTGTTGAAATGTTTCTTCTGATACAGCAGTTACAAACTAGAACCTTCAAAAAACAAGGGCAGAACCAAAGTATAATAAAAGAAGCTTCTGCAGGGTAAGCCTCCCGTAGTCCCAAGCTCTGACAGAAGCAAGGTACAGCATCTTCCCTGAAAATTAAGTGGGTTTCCAGTATTTTCATGCAGTTGACTAGACACTCAAGACTTTATCATTAATGTATATTCCGTCTTGGCTCTGGGTGCATTAGTTATGCCTGAAGAGCTTAATACCCAGCCACATCCGCAGGTGGGAGAACACATTCACTGGTATGGTGATGGGCAAGAGCAGATGTAAAAGCCCAGACTGGCTGGCTGTGCTGGTGCAGCCCTGTGGGGAGTTCTCTTCCACGGAGGACGAGCAGAACAGTCCTGCTAAGGAGATCAATGGAATGAGGATGGTCAACGTAGGAAGAGACAGAAACATTCTCCTCTCCCACTTATTACCTGCCACCCTGACTTTTTT